CTATCTTCTTCTACACGCAGTTTTCGTCTTCCTCTGCTTGAAAAAACATGTCGTGTTTGTGAAGGACATTCCATTTCGCATATAAGATTGGACTGCAAACTCTGAGTGCCCTGCCCTCATTTACGTCTGCCTGTATTGGTCTCTTACCGGCCAAAAAGACGACGGGGGTTCTCATGCAGGACTTTGTCAAAAGTTTATCTTTCTTCGCCCCTACTCAAAGTCCGCTGCCCCGTTATGCGCCCCGGGCATGCCTGGGCCTCGGCCTGGCCAAGCCAGGGTTGCTCCGCCAGGGTTTTTACACACATTCCAGGTCGCCTGCTCACCTCCAGACTATCCCTCCTCCTCGCGCTTGCGAGGCTTCGTCGTCCTTCTGTGAAGGAACCATAACTTAGTTGCTGGCCGGGCTTCAAGGGCCCAGTTGCTGGCCAGGGCTTCAAGGGCCCAGATGCTTCTTCTCTATGAAGGGCCTGCCAAAGTTCACTATTACGTGCCCCCGCCAGGGTTGCCCCACCCCCCCCTGGCGCTGATGCAGGCAGAAGGGCAGCAGGCCATGGGGCAGCGACTACGCGCTGAGCGCCTGGCCCGCCACAGTGGCCCACGCCAGGTGGCCCCCACCAAGCTGGCCCCGTGCCCCCGCCAGCTTCGTCGTCCTTATCAGGTGCCAGGACTGCCTGGCAGCCGTTAGATGCTTCGTCGTCCTTCTCTATGAAGGAAGGACCCTTGCAGAGTGCCCCACCAGGGCGGCCAAGGCGGTGGCCCCACCGTGTTAAAATGTCTGTAAATGGCCGGCCCCCACCAGGATGCCCCTGTGGGCTGACCTGCATGGCCCCGCCAGCGTCGTCGTCCTTCTCTATGAAGGTGTCAGGACTGCCTGGCAGCCGTTAGATGCTTCGTCGTCCTTCCCATGAAGGAAGGCAGGTGGCCCCCCCTGGCCCCGACCTGGATGGCCCCGCCAGCTTCGTCATCCTTCTCTATGAAGGTGCCAGGACTGCCTGGCAGCTGTTAGATGCTTCGTCGAGGCCCCACCAAGGCGAGGCGGCCCCCACCGTGTTAGGCTGTGGGTGGCCCGCCCACACCAGGATGCCCCCCGCCACATCCCCTATCAGGGTGACCCCCCCTGGCCCGGACCTGGATGGCCCCGCCAGCTTCGTCGTCCTGTGGGGCACACTGCAAGGGTCATCTTTGGACCTTCCTTCATGGGAAGGACGACGAAGCATCTAACAGCTGCCAGGCAGTCCTGGCACCTTCATAGAGAAGGACGACGAAGCTGGCGGGGCCATCCAGGTCGGGGCCAGGGGGGGTCACCCTGATAGGGGATGTGGCGGGGGCATCCTGGTGCGGGCCCGCCACCCACAGCCTAACACGGTGGGGGCCACCGCCTTGGTGGGGGGCCGCCCTGGTGGGGCACTCTGCGAGGGTCATCTTTGAGGCCTTCCTTCCTCGACGAAGGTCCTGGCTTCATAGAGAAGGACGACGAAGCTGGCGGGGCCATCCAGGTCGGGGCACCTGCCTTCATGGGAAGGACGACGAAGCATCTAACGGCTGCCAGGCAGTCCTGACACCTTCATAGAGAGGCCACCAAGGCGGTGGCCCCCACCGTGTTAGGGTGGCTGTGGGTGGCCTGCCCCCACCGGATGCCCCCCGCCACATACCCGATCAGGGTGGCCCCCCTGCCCCCAAACTGCGTGGACTGCCGTTAGATGCTTCGTCGTCCTTCCCTATGAATGAAGGTCGTAAGATTACCCTTGCAGAGTGCCCGACCAGGGCAGCCCCCCACCAAGGCGGTGGCCCCCACCGTGGTGGCCGGTCCGCACCGCCACATACCCTATCAGGGTGGCCCCCCCCCTGGATGGCCCCCGCCAGCTTCGTCGTCCTTCTCTATGAAGGTGCCAGGACTGCCTGGCAGCCGTCAGATGCTTCGTCAAGGAAGGCCCCTTGACAGAGTGCAGGGCGGCCACCAAGGCGGTGGCCCCTACCGTGTTAGGGGTGGCTGTGGTTGGCTGGCCCCCACCCCCGCCACATACCCTATCAGGGTGGCCCCCTTGGCCCCGACCTGGATCGACCTGGATGGCCCCGCCAGCTTCGTCGTCCTTCTCTATGAAGGTGCCAGGACTGCCTCAGCCGTTAGAAGCTTCGTCCTTCTCTCGAAAGGAAGCCCCAAGATTACGCTTGCAGAGTGCCCCACCAGGGCAGCCCCCCACGAAGCCGGTGGCCCCCACCGTGAGAGGGTGGCTGTGGTGGCTTCCGGTTGGCCGGCACGCCCACCCTGCTACCGGTTGCCACCGCGTTCTGCTGGCGCGTCTTGTGCCAGGATTGCCTGGCAGCCTTTACAAGGAAGGCCAGAGTTGCCGGGGCCAGGTTGGGTGGTCTGCCAGATTTGCCCCAGCTTTGCCCTCACTTACCAGGGTTGCCCCCGCCAGGATAGCCCCTGCCAGGTGACCCCACTTGCCCCCCGCCAGCGTTGCAGGGCCCTGCCAAAGTTCTCCATTATAGTCGCCCCCGCCAAGGCTGCCTATATAAAGAGAAAGAGAAAGAAAAAGAGCAAGAGAAAGAGAAAGAGAAGGAGAAAGAGAAAGAGAAAAAGAGAGAAAGAAAGAAAGAGAGAAAGAAAGAGAGAGAGAGAGAGAGAGAGAGAGAGAGAGAGACAGACAGAGAGAGAAAGATGGTCCATGTTCATGATCGAAGGAAGGGTTTGCAGCATTTGTTGCCCGAGCTTGCTTTGTAGTCGCTAGTTCTCGCTTCAACTCTTCTGCCGCCATGGCTTCGGGGACTTGTCTACCTGCAGACGCGGCAGAGACACACCTGCCACCTGCGGGGGTTTTGCTGCCGCATATGCGGCTGCCGCCGACGAACTTGGTTGACATGGCCGTGGCTGGGCCATGTCGCTGGGACGGTCCGCCGTTGCTGTGTCCTCCGGATGGTCTCTGTTTCTTATACGCTTGGCTGGCAGCCCGTTTGCCCGAGGAATGGGCTGCCGTGCAGAAAGACGACCACGGATTCATCTGCGACCCGGAGGAACAGCAAGTCTGGAAGGCCAAAGCGCAGAGTTTGCTAGACCCAGTCCTGGCGCTGATGGAAGCAGAAGGGCAGCAGGCCATGGCGCGGCGAGTGCGCGCTGGGGGCAGCCCAGGCGATGAGGAGTTCGCGTTCTTCGCGAAGGCTCTGGGCGGGGCGTTTCTCGTCACGCCCATGGAAGTACCATCGGCGGTACCGTGCATCTACGGCCAGGGACACGTGCACTGTGAGCTAGGCTTCGTCAACAGCGTGGATGCCGCCGGACACTCTGCAGGACATTACATTCTCTTGCGGAGCTGGGCGCCTGGCCCGAGCGCTTACGCCAGCCAGGCCATGCCCATTGCCACGGCTCGCCCAGCCTACGTTATTTCTCTGGACAACTCTGACACGGAGACGAGCCATGCCGGCTCTTCTGCCACGTGTTTTTCTTTCAACGACAATAGCAGCCCCCTCTTTGACGACGACGGTCTGGACTGCGAGCCGGAGAGTCAGGGCGAGACTGAAAGCCCCCCTGCCCGGAGGAAGGAAAATTCACTCGCAACCTTGGAACCCGGATCGCGCTCGAGGCCCACCGCAGGCAAGACACGCGGGAGCACAAGTAGCGCGCATGACTGCTTGCAGTCTGCGGACTCGGCAGACGCTCCTGTAACTGCTTCCGTAGCTTTCGGAGATACCACACGAATCCTGAAGATCAGGCCTCAGTGGCTACACCTCATTCTAGCAGGGCAGAAAACACTGGAGATACGTGGGTCCCCATGCCCGCACGTGGGCTGGGTGACGCTGGCTGCAGCCAGAACCAGGCGCATATATGCTCGAGCTCGATTTGGCACCAGCCACCGCCTCACCGACGAAGAGAGGAGAGCCAACTCTCAGGCACTTTCAAAGCTCTCCTACAGCCACGCTTGGGCTTGGCCCATCGAGGAACTCAAGCTGCTGCCGAGCCCTATCAGAATACCGCGATGGGTCGCCCGTGCTTCGGTGCAATGGATTACCCGAGCGTTGGGAGGCCTTCGACGCGCAACGGCTCGAATCGCAGCGTCTCCCGTCCGCCGCAGCGAACCCGCAGGCAGGGGGCGAGCCTCCGGCTAACATAAGAACCACTCACGCTCTGCCTCGCATTTTCTACGCAGAATGCCCGAGCATGGTTGCGCCCCTGAGAACTGAGGCCGTGTGGCCCCGGATCCGACCGCAGGCAGCCTTCGGGAGCCTGAGAACGACGTTGGCGACGCCGTGCCTGACATACGCAGAGTGTCCGCAAAGGAAGCGGGGTCAAGCGGAGATGTGCTCTGGCACCGATGAACCGTGCGTGTTCAGCGCGCGACACCCTGGCCTGCCAGCGCGGCGTCCGCGGGAGTCGCCTCGCTGTACTTTCTGCAACGAGCCGGCCCTGGCAAACCTTGCCTCTACACCTTCTGGACGCGGCAAATTGACCCGCGCATTGAAGGCGTTCCGACTTGCAACTGACGAGAGGACCTACCATCGGGCCCTGGAGCGCCTACGTCGGGCGGCCCCTGCTCAGGCTGAGCAGATTTGTGCGCGCGCAGCCCTGAAGAAGCGGAGACGGCCACAGCCTGGTCTGGAGGGGAACGGCCGTCCGTGAGCTGACCCATCCATCACGCCATGCCGGAGCACTACAGTTTCACCCCCCACCTTGTTAAGAATTCAGTGCATTTCAGCGCATGTCTATATTCCATGCGCACTAGAGACGACTTCCTTCACCGGCCCGTGCGCGCGAGGCAAACAAGTCTGCTCTGCGCGCAGTCACAGCATTCGGGAGAGAGGGGAGTAGATAGATAGATGGATACATAGAGAGAGAGAGAGAGCACACAGCGTATAACCCAATATTAAGTACTAAATATATGTCCATCTTATATATATATATATATACATGCATGTTTCAGTCTGATTGTTCCTAAATTCGCATGTCCGTACCGATAACTGACAGCTCAAGCCTAGCAGGGGTGTGCAGACCCTTACCTTTTCTCATGGCCTTGGCACTTGCTGCAGCGGCTGCAGATGCGCCGGGCGCGCTCCTGCCACATATGCGCCTGCCCCCTGCGGCGGCAGAAACCATGGAGGTCGCCGGGCCCTGCCGCTGGTCCGGACCGCCCCTGAACAGTCCACCTGACGGCTACTGCTTTCTGTATGCTTGGCTGGCTTCTCTCGAGCCCGAGAGATGGCAAGCTGTCGCGAAAGACAGCATGGGTTTCATCGTGGACGCCGAAGAAGAAGGGATCTGGAAGGCAAAGGCCCGCAGCCTTCTGGACAAAGTCTTGGCTTTGATGGAGAGCGAAGGTGCACACGACATGGCGGGAAGTCTTCGACGCGGCGCCTATCCCGGGGACGAAGAATTCGCCTTTTACACGCGAGCCTTAGGCGGGGCCTTCCTTCTGACTCCACTAAGCGAAGATAAGGCCTTTCCTGTGATTCATGGGGAGGGCCCTGTGCACTGCGAGCTTGGCTTCGTGTATAGTACTGATGGAGCCGGCTACTCTTCTGGCCATTACGTGCTGCTGCGAAGCTGGGCGCCCGACCAGAAGATTGCACAGCCAGCCGCCAGGATGTCGCTGTCGGACTCGGACTCGGACTCCAACGCAAAGCTTCATTGCCCTCCGGAGAGAGCTGGGGCCCCACCCCTCGCTGATGACGCCGCCAGTGAGACGGATGACGACGCAGCCTGTCACACAGACGAGGGCGACAAGTACGTCTCCGAACATCCCAGCAGCAAACTTGACGACAACGCAGATAATGCCCAGGACGGCGAAGCGTCCAGGTGTGCCGACGCGGAGGGCGGGTCCACGGCCAAGCTCCAGACCACAGTGGCTGCTGCTTGCTGTGATTCCCAGCTAAAGGAAACTCCCAACAGTGACGCGCGCAGCGGCAGCGGCCTTCTGGACGGCGCAGGCGATGCCCGGGACGGCGAAGCGTCCAGGTGTGCCGATGCGGAGGGCGGGTCCCCGGCCAAGCACCAGACCGCCGTGGCTGCTGCTTCTGGCGCGGCGCCCTCCAGCTGTGATTCCCATCTAGAAGAAACTTCACCAACGCCGACAGACAAGCGAGGCAAGCAGCTGCAGACGAGCACGTGGGCCACGGCTGCGATGGCATTTGGACGCACGAGCAGGATTCTGAAAATTAGACCCAAGTGGCTTGGACGCATCCTGTCCGGCGAGAAAACGATAGAGATACGCGGAGAGGGCCTGTCCGCACGAAGGTTGGGTGACGCTTGCAGAGGTCAAGACACGAAGAATCCTAGCAAGGGCTCGAATTGGACGGAGCCGCCGCTTGACAGAAACAGACAGGCACGAGAACCACGAAGCGCTCCGAGAAATTTCGTACCCAGCGCCGTGGGCGTGGCCACTGGAGGAAGTCGAGGTCCTGCCTGCCCCGATCAGCATTCCCAGCTGGGTGGCGAAAGGCTCCGTGCGATGGATTACTCGCGAGAGGTGGGAGGCTTTCGACCGCGACCCGGGCCTCGAGGCGGCTCCATTCACCCCAACTGCATGGGCTGCGCGGCAATCGAAGAGGCGATCGGCCGAACAGGGCTGCGAGGATGCAGCCCCTCAGAAGAAGCCCAAGCAGACAATGGCGCGGAAACGCTACGCGGCCGAGCTCTGCTCCACGCAGTCATGCATCTTCAACCCGCAGCGCCCGGGCTCGGCAGCGCGGAGGCCACGCCTGGCCAGCGCGTGCGCGTTTTGCAGCAAGGCGACGATGCAGACTGCGGCCGGTACGCCAGCCGGGCGAGGTCGTCTGACCAAAGCTCTCAAAGCATTCCGCACCTGCAGCAACGGCACTGTGCACGAGAGAGCCCTGAAGCGTCTCCGGCACTGGGCACCTGCCCACGCTGCGCGAATAGAGAAATCGGCTAGCGCGCCTAAACGCCACAAGCCTGTCGAGGGGGGCCAGTGTGCCAGTGACAGTGCAACGTGGGAAAGCTGCAAAGCTCGCCGCAGGCACGTTGCGGCACCTCCCGATGGCCCGGCCAAGAAGGTCTATCGTTCCGCAGTCCTGGCGGATCAGCGCTACGCGAAGAAGCGATTCTACCCAGATGCACCACGGCGCGCCCGAGCGTCAGGGTCGGAACTGCTCGCACCCGTCGACAACGACTGCGACCTCCCACCGGCGAGCCGCTCCGATGTTTCCATCGGCCTGCAGCGCTGGTGCACAGAGGGGGCCTGGGGAATGTGTACAAGCTGTCAGATGCTGCAGATGCGCCCGCTGCGACCTAGAGACCTGCAAGCAGAGGAACACAAGCCCGAGGTTCCTCGTTCCAGCTGCCGCCGCTGCGGCGCGAAACATCCGCACGTGGTGCCGCGCCCAGAGGACGTGCCGCTGCCATTGCGCGAGCTGCCCCACGACGTCGTCCAGGCACTTCGCCCTTTGACGATCGACGTGGGGCCGGTCACCCGCGCGGACAACGGCTATCGCAAAAAGGTTCGCATGACGACCTTTTCTTGGGGGCTGGAGAAGGTCGACGTGAAAGTCGAGAAACTACCTAAGGAGTCACGACGCCTCGCGCGTGCTGCGCTGAAGTTTCTGCGTCGGTCGTCGGACAGTCTGTATGGGCATTTTTACGATCGCCACTGCTCCTTCTTGGACCAGAACGCTTCTGGGCCCACCCCGGAGGTGGCTCGCAGACCACTCCAGTTCATTGAGGAGCCTGGCCTCGAGAACGCTCTCTGGCCGCACTTGTATTGGGATGCTAATATGTGCGAGTCTTACGAGCGCCTCAATCGGCGCCGCTTCCGGCAGCTAGCCGCCACCGAAGATCCGCAGGGCCAGGCCGAGACTAGCGATGCCGACGAGGCAGAAGATGTCGACGATCGCCGTCACAGCATCAAGCGTTCCTTCCTCTGCAAACTGCTCAGTCCCCTCCTTGGGTATGGATCCGACTTCGAGCTTCTGCAGTTCGTGTATGACCTGCATCTGTGGACGGATCTGGGAAGCAAGCGCAACGTGGCGGACGGAACCGCCATGCGGATCATGATGCGCGGACACCCGATGTCTCCGCTCTACTGGAAAGATGTGAAGAACGGCCTGCATGACCTCGTCCGCCAGATAGGCTACCCTCACCTGTATTGGACGCTGGCACCTTACGAGCGCAGCTTTCCGTACCACGCTTACTTGCTCGACGAGATGCAGAAGCTGCTGCGCGAGCGAATGCGACTGCCTGCCTTCGAGTGTCTGCACCTCACGCACACGATGCTGCAGGTAACTCGCAGTCTTCTGGCCGGGCGCGGAAGGCATCGCGGCACGGGCTGGACTCGGCATCTGCTGGGGAAGGGGCAAGGACTAGACGGCGTGCATTTCTTTACGCGCATCGAGTTCCAGGATGGATCCAAGAAAGCCGGTACACAGCAGTATCATGGCTCGGGCCGTCCACATGTGCACGCACTGTTCTGGCTGCGAGATCCTGCGGCAGTTGACCTGGGGTCAATCGCAGCAGCAACTGAAAATCTCCCAGAAGCCGAGAACGATCTCGCCGCATTCGTTCGAGGCTCGCAGCGTGATGATGCCGGCGAGAGCCGCTGGCCGGTGCATGACGGTCCGCCGCAGTTTGACCCCGTCACGGGTGGCTGGACCCTTCCTCACACGCCGGACGACGCCGACCAGGGCGTTCGCGGGTACTTCCTCGACATCATGGACGCTCTGCGCTGCCATCAGGACTTACAGTGCAGACAGGGACGTGGTCTCTTGCTGGCGTACGTGGCCAAGTATGTGGCCAAATGGTCCGACTCCTCGTACGACGAGTGGATGTCGGACGCGAGCAGCGTCACGAGCCTGTGTCGGAAGATACTATTCGAGTATCACCCGCTCGAGCCTGAGATGGTCCTGCAGCTGACGCAAGGTTTGCGTCAGTGGGAGTTTGGAACTGTCCAGACTGGTCGCCGGTCCGTACGTGCGCCGCATCCCTGGGACGAATCAGCTCAGCAGCCCTTGTTCGTACAAAAATACATGGACTGCGCCTGGCGTGGGGAGACCATGTCCCTGCTGGAGTATCTGCGTAAAAGTGGGCCGCACGGTGAGATCGCTGCATGGCTGCGGCAGCGACACGAGGAGGCGCAGAATGCTGGCACGCAGGTGGACCTGGAAGAATTCGTGCGAGGGTACATGATGCGTGGAGAGCAAGTCGTGGCAGTCGATTATTTGTGGCGGCTGAATGACCGCTTCTTCGGTCAATGGTGCATGATGCACCTGCCTTTTCGATCCTTGGAAATCTTCCGGACCGTCCGGGGTGTAGACAGTGTTCCGGATCGTTATCGTGGGTTTGCCACGGCTCTTCTGCTCACAGACAATGCCGATGGTCCACATCGGGGGCACTGGCGTGATCTGGGTAACTTGGTCCGGGACATGCAGTTGGAGGGGCACACGGACGCAATTATCCGGGACACACGGCTGTTTTTGGAGGCTGTCACAGTCGCTGTGAACGCATACATCGACGGCCGCATCGACAAGACGGAGGAAGACAGTGTGGGCAAGCCTGTGGAGCAAGCTCGCCTTGGCCTGTTCGAAGGCCAGCAGCTGCTGTTTTTCAACGCCATACAGGAGCGAGTGACTCGCTCCCTGCAAGCACAGCAAGCGACGGACGACACAGACGTTGAACGCATCTTCTCGCAGCTCCGGGATCTGCAAAACCGGCCCTTGATTTGCTCCGGCAGGCCGGGCACGGGGAAGACGACGGTGGCCTTGGAATGTGCACAGTGTGCACTGGCCGATGGCGCGGCAGTGCTGGTGACCTGTCCCACAGCTCGGATGGCAGGCCGCGTGCGCCAGCGGCTTGGCGACCACGCCAATTTGGTTGTCGACACGGCTGCAGCCGCGTTTCAATTTCATCTGCCTGAGCAGGAGGCGGCGTACGTCTTGTGCGGATACACGCTGGTAATTGTCGACGAATACTCGCAACTCGGTCTGGAAGACTTTGAGCGCGTTCTCCGGCTGTGGAGCATGGCGGACCGTGTTCCTGCGATGGTTTTCCTCGGAGATAAGTACCAGCTGCCGGGCGTGGCACCACAGCGGCCGTGGGAAAGCACGGCCTGGAAGTCGTGTCAAAGGATGGAGCTTGCCAAAATCTATCGCAGTCATGACCCTGCTTTTCTGCAAACGCTGGCTTTGCTGCGATCCAGCATGCCAACGAAGACAGAGGTGAATAAAATCTGCCGCGGCCATAAGGCCTGGTCGGGCAAAGAGCCCACTCTCCTTCACGAGTATCCCACGGCCACATATGTTGCGGCCACAAGGAGTGGGGTCGCTTTGATCAACAAGCTCGCCCTGGCAGCTTTGTACCCTGGCGTCAGCCCCGCAGCCGTGCTGCCCGGCGCTTATGAGGACAACCCGGAAAATTTCAACAACAGTTCCTTGCGCCTCGACCGACAGCCTGCGCCTACCGATGTGGAGATTTACTTGGGCGCTCGCATCTACCTCACACGGAATGTTCGGAAGACGGATGACTTTGTCAATGGCATGGGCTGTACTGTTCTGGAGTACGAGGCGGCCACCCGAGTGCTGTGGGTGCGAACGGACACCGGAAAGCGACTGCCCGTCACCCCCTGGCATGATCCGGAATTTGCAGGGCTGGTCTACTATCCACTTCGCTTGGGCTACTGCAGCACCATCGCAAAAGTGCAAGGCGACGAATTCTCTTTCATCATTATCTACTTGGACGTGCCAAACTTGCCGGCAGTAGGCTACACTGCGCTGAGCCGGGTGAAAGATGCTCAATCCTATCTTCTGGGCGGCGTGCTTACCCCGGAGCATTTCACCCCTGTAACACTGCGATGAACCTATAGTGGCATGGGCGGCACTGTCAGATGCTCGTCACCGGCGCTGCTTAGGGATGACTTCTCGCTCGCGGCGAAGCCTGCGAGCGTGTCTCGCCGACTTGCGGATTTGTACGGCGCGAGGAAAATCAAATCTGCATTGCTTGCGTGCTCCATTGTACTTTGAATGTTATGGCAGGGACGGCTCTTCAGAGAGAGCGGGAAAGACAGGAGAGGGAGACAGAGAGAGAGAAGGAGAGAGGGAGAGAAAGAGATGGGCGATGGGAGGGAGAGAGAGAGAGAGAGAGAGAGAGAGAGAGAGAGAGAGAAGGAAGTGCGTGTGACAAAGAGAAACTCAGTCTGTGTGGTTCGATCGGCATGGTTACCTCGTTTGGCTCACAGAGGCTCCAGTCGGGCGTCTTAGCAGTAGCCGAGGTAGCCAATTGCAAGATGAGCAGCAGACACGTCCATCTGTACTTGCCTGCGCCCCGCCGGGTTGCCACCAGGGTTAGCCTCCGCAACGGTTGCCCCCGCCAGGGTTGGCCTTGCCAGGGTTGCCTTGCCCCCGTTGCCCCCGCCAGCGTTGCCCCCGCCTGGGTTGCCCCCGCCATTGCCTGCTTCCTGGCCAGAAAAACGAGGCAACATTTCGGCACAGCTACCCAGCCCTGGCCTGCTTCTTGATGTGTTCAACACTTCCCCGCCAGGGTTGCCCCCGCCAGGGTTACCCCCACAGCGTTGCCCCTCAGGTCACGTATACTCAGGAATTGTTGTGTGTGATGGCCCAGCCATCTTATGAAGGAAACATAGGCCTCCTTTCGTCTCGAAGTGCCATGTGACCCCAGATGCTTCTTCGTCCCTCTCTATGAAGGGCCCTGCCAAAGTTCTCTGTAAGTTGCCCTCGCCAGGGTTGCCGCCGCCAGGGTTGCCCCCGCCAGGGTTGGTTGCTACTCGGGAAGTACCGGAAGCCGAAATGTCTGTTTCTGTTGCTCTCTCTCTCTTGCCCAACACTCTCGCCCTCCCTCCCTCTCCCTCATCCTCTCCTCCTGGCTTCCGAGCTCTCGACTGGCCGTTGCTCAGGCTGTTGCGAGCTTATGGCCAGCGCAAGAAAACAAAGGACGGTGACTGACTTGACAACCGCACTTGAGTCTGCTGAGGTGGGACTCCCTGTTCCCCCGGCCTCTCCGTGTCGCTGCAGCGCTCTTTCCAGGACACAGCTCTGGTCGAAGAACCGCCTGCACGCATATGCATCTTCTGCATGCTCATGTGACTTGCAGCTGTTCGTGCTGGCAGCATGCACTCATCAACCTGTGGTTTGCTGGTTTTCGTGTTCAAGGCTTGGCGAGGCTGCAGTCAGAACATTGTGCTGTCGTGTCGGGGCACAGACCTCCAGTTGCCCCATGTGGCGTCACATGTTTTGCGCAGTCTGAGCTTTGAAGTGCAGGCCTAGGCTCCGAGCAGGCATGTCTCAGAACAGGGTGCTGTCCAGGAGCCCGCGGAGCGTGCTGATGGCCCGGCCGGAGTGCAAATTCTGCATAGCGAGCTGCAGGGAGGCAATGTGCTCTTCTGAAAGAAGCTCCTGGCGCCACTGTTCACGGCCTAGGGCGTGGTGTAACAGGCAGGCAATCTCCAGCAGGGGGCATGTGCGGGCTTCCCGACGCCAGGCCAGCGCCTCATTGCGCTTCATGTTCAACCAGATGCACCGTATCCACCGACCTGCGCGTGCTCCCAAAACGATTTTGTCGCCCGGGAACCAAATCCGGCCAAGCTCCAGGCTCTTCGCGTTGATCTCCTCCTTCAGCAGGGCTTGTACTGGCTTCAGTTCCCACGGCTTACGTTGGTAGGGTGGAAGGCCGTGTGAGCACAGAGTCCACGCAAATGCAAACGTGGAACGGAAGGTGCTCTGCGCGATGCCTGCTGCACGCATCTCGCGGCGAATGGCGGCCAAGACGTACTGCCCAGAAAACTTCTTGGGGCAGTCGTAGGCTGCATGGCAGAGAAACCCCACGCGCAGCATGCACTGGTACTTGGCCGGATCTCCTGGCGACTCACACACCGCCTGCTGGCATTTTTCTGCCATTGCAGTTGCCAGGCCACGGACGTTGAGCGTTGGCACGCGAAGCATGTACCGCAAATATTCTGGAGTCCTATCCTCACACAGGGAAAACCGAATCCTGTCTTCCTGCTCGAGTTCTTTCTTTGGCTGCGCGGCGCCCTCGAGGTCCAAAGCTGCCACAGCCGGCTCCGTGTGGTCCAGGAACTCGATCAGGTCGGCGTTCAAGGTCACGAAGACTGTGTCGCCATCCGAATCTCCGCCAGACAGCGCCGTGACGCCAGGCCCACGCACTGTGCAGACGATGCAGTTCCTCGGCGGGGCGCGTTGGTGGGCAGGCCATTCCTTTGCCTCCCATACCTGGATGTCTCCCGGTTGCACGACCGGGCTGCGCCACACGGCAACCCTACCCACGATGTTGACGCCGTTCGCGAAGACATAGCACTGCTTGTCCTTCGAGCTAGGCCGTTCCACAGGGTGTGTGCGGGGTTAGTTAGGGTTTTGCAGAGATGCCGCCTGCCTCAAGTCCCTTCCAGATGTCGGGCAGCGATGTCAGAACCCATGCGCCTCCGGGCAGGACGAGCTGAGGGTCGTGTCTGCACTGCGTCAGGAGGCCGTTGAATGCGCCACCGCCTCCGAGAACTGCCCGCTTGGTTCCCCGCGCCAAGTCCCACGGGTGCATCTCCTCGACTTCCTTGGTGAGCTGGGCCAGATCGCTCTCCACCTCTTCTTCATCGGCTGCGGCTCGGACTGTGACCTCGTGTTTCCCGACCCGATTGACAAACTGCCGTTCCTCGTTCATCTCCGCCTGGCGTTTGTCGCCCCGTGTGGGGGCTGGCGGAGACAAACGCTTCACGGCTTCTGCTGGAGCTTCGAGAAGGCTGTTCTTGATGCCCCATGCCACGCTCGCGAAGTGAAGCACGGTGGCAGCTTGCAGTGTCTGAAGCCTGGGCAGCTGGACATGACTATAAACTCGTGCTTTCAACCCCCTCTGCTCATGTACACGTGTCCTACGTTCTTGCTTTTCCAGACGCTGTAGGCTAATGTTATGGTACTGTTCTTCACTAATTGAAAGACAACGGTCCACCAGCTATATGATGTCTGGCCAGCGGAGCGGCAATGTGTCCAGCAGGCCCAGCGCGACCACACGGGCAGCCTCTGTCTTATAGGCCATAGCCCGCATGGCGAGCGCGGCTGTGGTTTGACAGTTTATCCGCGCGGCCTGCATGGCTGCCTCCGTGTTCTGTGTTAGGTCGAGCCCGAGGTGCTCTGACGAGACAGGGCTCAGGTAGTGCATGTGCAGTTTGCTGCAGCTCCTCCGGATGTGGAGCCCGTCTTTTCTGCGGCAGTCGATCATCAGCATGCCTTTCACGAGCACATGCCACAATGGCCCGACGCGGAGAAGGCCACGGAACTGTGTCGGCGAGTACGAGTTGATGTCAGTCTCGCTCTTGATGAGGCCCAGCCGCACAGCCGCCGCCGTGCCCACATCAGACGCGCCGTCCGTGGTCGGGTCCTGGGTTCGGTCCTCCCCGGGGTAGTCGTCCTCCACGATCTCCACTCGGAACCCACATTGTGGCACCACACACGGAGTGCTGGGCGACAGCAAGAGTGGTAATCTGCTGTAGGCCTCTTGCACATTCTGGGCGGCCGTCAGCAGGCGCATGGCGGAGACGCTCTGCCGCAGAGGCTGGCTGGCGTAGTAGGTCAGGCCATCCTCTTTGCCCACTACGGCTTGCAGCGTCGGCCGCACTGTGTCCGCGCGGACTCCCTGGATGATCAGTGGCACCAGCTGCTCCGGTTTGCGCTTCCCGCATTTCCAGTCCACACTAGCTATGTCTCCTATCTCACGGGAGAGCCTACTACTGTCCAGCTCTGTTGGGAGAACAGCTTGCATGTCCGTGGGCACGAAGCGCACAGGCGCCGACTTGGAGCCTAGCCGCCGCCGCTTCAGGTCCGGAGCGACAGTGGCGCTCACATCCTCGCCCCCGGCATCAACAGTGTCCTCCTCGGCATCCCAGTCAACATCACTGCCGGGGTCGCTGGCCTGGCGCTCTGGAGCGGGCAGTACCTGGTAGACGTACAAGCCGACTTCCTGCACAAGCTTGGCACGCTCCAGCGCGGGCAGCCTCGCGGGGCGTCTCACGCGCAGATGTGTGCAGTGTACTTATTTTGAACCTTTTACACATCTTTACAGTCCAAACAAGGAGGGGTGCACCGTTTCCATTGTTGCACGCGCCTGCCTTGCGAAGGGCTTTAGCGGTCCGGCCAGCTTCCACGGCATTTTGGCTGGACGCCCGTTCAGGAACTGCGTCAGCGTCGAGGGCGCCAGCTGTGCCAAGGCCTTGCGCCACGCAGCCTTCTCGAACGTGCTGCCGGTGCCTCGCAGGAAGGAGGACTCACTGGCCGCTTCGTCCTGCAGCCCCACCCAGAAGGAGTCCAGCACAACCAGCTCATGCTCCGGGCCTACTTTCCGCGGCAACATCTCTCTGGCTGGCCCCGACTACACCAAAGAGAAAAAGAACCTTGCAAGTTCTTTCAGAAGAAAAGGGGCGCAGCAGGACTACGCAGTGTCGCTTTAAGCAGCATGACAGAATCATGACAAACGGAACTGCCCGCATGCTTCAAAAAACACAAAGCTTGGAAGTCCAAGGTCTTCTTCAACAAGACTTGACGAGAACACCAGACTCTTGCAGATGCAAGGAGGTTGGCCCCCCCAGGAAACGCTGATCTCCCAGCTCCTGCTGCAATTGCCGAAATCCTTGCCCGGGGATACCCCTGCGCAACAAGCCCCGGCCTGGACGGGTGCGACCACGCCGCCCCCCGGCCTGGTCAGGCAAGATGCTTGCCGCTCCCCGGCCCTTCATGGCCCTTCCAAGCGAGAAAATACGGTGAACTGGAGAAAAAGACAGGCCCCGGCCTCGACGAGTGCGGCCGCGCCGCCCTCCGGCCTTGACAGGCGAGATGCTTCAGAAGCGAGAAATACGGTGAACTGGAGAAAAAGACAGGCCCCGGCCTCGACGAGTGCGGCCGCGCCGCCCTCCGGCCTTGACAGGCGAGATGCTTGAGAAAAGGTGAACTGGAGAAAAAGACAGGCCCCGGCCTCGACGAGTGCGGCCGCGCCGCCATCTGGCCTTGACAGGCGAGATGCTTGAGAAAAGTGATCTATGAAACGACACAATCGAAAAGGCCGCGGCCTCGACGAGTGCGGCTGTGCCGCCCCCCGGCCTTGCCGAGCCAGAGTCTCGAAGTCCACTCCCTCGCCCATCCACGCGCGTCACCAGACGCCGAGATGTGCGTGCAGGGCGCCCTTCGACCCAGGGGTTCCTGCAAGCGTCGGCTTCTGGCTCTTCTGCGCTGGGAACCTGGAGGTAGAGCTTACTTATGTATCAACAGGTGCTCTTCCAATATAACAAAAGCCTCTTCGAAGATCCTCAGCGATGTACGCTCGTAGATCCCTGGCTAAGGACGGACCGAAGCGCTTGCCGGCAGGGGCGGCCGAGCCTGAAATCTGCAACAATGGGGGGGTCCGTGCTGCCATATGAATTCCCGCTAAAATCACCGGGGGGCGAGCGCTTTGGGGCCTTGCGCTGGGAATCGAGCACTTTCGGGCTGATCCTTTTGTCCGAGGGCCGCCCCCCCATTCGGGCCAAGCGCTGAGCTCTGGACCCCCTTCATATAGGTATAGAACAAATTCCTCCTGGGCAGGTCGGAGGTCTGGAACCCCTTCACATAGGTAGAGCCAATTCCTCCTGGGCAGGTCTGAGCTCCAAACCCCTTCATATAGGTAGAACAAACTCCTCCTGAACAGGTGAGCTCTGGAAGCCCTTCATACAAGTAGAACAAATTCCTCCTAGGCAGGTCTGTGCTCCGGACCCCTTCTTTTTGGTAGCAAATTCTGGGCAGGTTTGAGCTCCGGACCCCTTCATACAGGTAGAACGAATTCCTCCTCTGAGCTCTGGAACCTTGAACAAATTCCTCCTGCGCAGGTCTGAGCCCTGGAACCCCCTCATATAGGGAGAACAAATTCCTCCTTCCTGGGCACTGATGCAGGCTGCCCCCCCCCCCAACGCCAAGCTTGCTTCCGCCAGCTTGCCCCGATTGGCCCTGCCATTCGCAGGGCCCGTCAGGGTTGTGCCAGTGCCCCCGCCAGGTTTGCCCCCGCAAGCCAGGGTTGCCCCCCGCCAGGCCCCCGCCATGGTTGCCTGCCAGGGTTGCTCCTTCGAGTTGCCCCCACCAAAGTTGCCCCGCCAGGGTTGCCCACCAGGGGCCACTCTCAATGCACACCTAGAGGAGCCCCGCCGCATTCCCTCCATCTCATCCGGGTTATTCCGGAGTCCTGCGACCAACATGGCTCGGGTTGGAAAAACCGACACGGGGCTTAGCTATGGCCTTGAGGGTGTCTTAAACACAGTAGTTTGGATCCAGGACAGTGTAGGCTCAAGCAACAGCAGCAGTACGTCCCATCCCGGCCATCGGGGAGAGTGGAGGTGAAAGCCCCCTTGATAGGGGGTGGGGGGTAGACCGCTAAACCCGAAACCCCACCAAGTTGCCCCCGCCAGATTTGCCCCAGCAGGGTTGCCGCCGTCAGGGTTGCCCCCGCCAGGGTTGCCCCCGCCAGGGTTGCCCCCGCCAGGGTTGCCCCCCGCCAGGGTGGTTGCCCTATACCAGTTGCGCCCAAAATTCCTTTCCAACTTTCCAGCTTCGCTTTTGGCAGGGTTGCCCTCGCTAGGGTGACAGGTTTGCCCCCGCCAGGGTTGCCCACCAGGTCTGCCCCGCCAGGGTTGCCCTTGTGAGGGTTGTCCCTGCCAGGGTTTCCCCGCCCCCTCCCCCTTCAGGGTTGCCCCGCCACCAACCCCGCACCATGTCGCCTACTTGTGCACCTTCTCAGTGACGGCCCTCCCAAGACAACCTGGTCCTCCCTGCGCGCTTGCAAGGCTTCGTCGTCCTTCTCTATGAAGGAACCACAAGCTCCCTGCCAAAGTACTCTATTATTCCGCCAGGGTGCCGGCAATGTTGCCCTCGCCGGGGTTGCACGCCAGGGTTGCGCCTGCCAGGGCTGCCCCCGCCGCATTCCCTCCATCTCATCCGGGTTATTCCGGAGTCCTGCGACCAACATGGCTCGGGTTGGAAAAACCGACACGGGGCTTAGCTATGGCCTTCAAAGTGTCTTGAACGTGTAGGCTCAAGCAACAGCAGCAGTACGTCCCATCCCGGCCATCGAGGAGAGAGGAGGTGAAAGCCCCCTTGATAGGGGGGCGGGGGGTAGACCGCTCTAAACCCGAAAAAGGCGGTAGTTTGGGTGGTTGGGGTGGGATCCGCTGCACCGAGGCGGCCCGACCCGCCACCACTCCCTGGCGCGGGTCGGGACCGCGGCACTTTGGAACACCCTAAACCCTAAACCCTAAACCCTAAACCCAACCCTAAACCCTAAACCCTAAACCCGAAACCCTCTTCTGGCTCAGGGTCTAGGACTCAGGCTTAAGGGTCCAGAGCTTAGGGTTCACGGCTTCGGGTCCCCCAACATGCAAAGCAGCAAGAGGGCTGAAGGATAGTGGGTTTAGGGTTTAGGGTTTAGGGTTTAGGGTTTAGGGTTTAGGGTTTAGGGTTTAGGGTTTAGGGTTTAGGATTTAGGGGGGAAGGGGCATCTCATGATTCCCCTAAGTGGTTTAGGGTTTAGCGGGCTGAAGGGAGCATCTCAACAGCGAACCCCTACCCCCAAACCGTCAACCCGAACCCTAAACCCTTTCAACCCTAAACCCTAACCGCCCAGAAAGGAAATAGAAGCACCACCCTGGCCCCGTTTCTTGCAGCCCCCGAAAACCTGACCCTGAGGGGCTACTTGTAAGTATGGCTGAGAGTTTCGAGTGTAGTGGGCTTCGGCAGCAGGAGGGCTCAGGGTGTAGGCTTTAGAACCCTAAACCCTAAACCCTAATCCCGGCTTTAGGGCTTGGTGCTTCTATCTTGACGTCAGGCAGAAGCCAATTTCGAGTTGACAGGGCGCCACTCACTTCCTTCAGGGTTTAGGAAATAGGGTTTAGGGTATAGGGTTTAGGATGACCCTAGCTGAAACCCGCCCTGTTTCCGCACGTGCTTTTTTGTCGGAACGCGTGTTGTGCAGGTATAAACGCTTGTTTTTGACTTTAATTTCCATATATGAATTTGTCGTTGTTTTTTTATAACGCTGATTTTCCAAGGTGTCTGCACACGCGTTTCTTGCTTTGTTTTGGCTTGCACCGTCGGTTCTCTGGATTTTGAATGGGTGCACGGTTCTTGGCATTGCGCTGTGTCAAAACGTACAACACTACTTGGAGGTTCATGGTACTTATCAACCAATTATACCTACACTTATAACTATACGTATAACCATATAAGGGCACTTAAGGGGCTTATAAGTGGGTTAGAAGTACAGTTATAAGTATTGAGGTCTTGGAGTGGCCTCGGGGGATTAGGGAGTTTAGGGAACCAAGGAGGGGACTGAGGGGGAGTCTGGGGGCTTAGGGGGTTTGGGGGAGCTAAAGGAGCTATGGGAGCTCAGGAGGGGACTTAGGGGGTCTGGGGGCTTAGGGAGCTTAGGAAGTCAAGGGAGCTAAAGGGGACTTACGGGGTCTGGGGGTTTAGGGTTTGGGGTTTAGGGTTTGGGTCTTAGGGAGTTTAGTAAACTAAGGGAGCTACAGGGGACTTCGGGGGTCTGCGTGAACGTGCACCATGCCATAGGCACCTCCAAGTTGATCCTGGACCCACTGTGGGGTCTCGAACATGCGAGCCATGGGGAATGGTCGATCCCCAAGGCACACACGGCGGCCGCTTGCAAAAGCCATTGCAAAGCAAGGACAAGCGGTTCATCTTCGGTCCGCTGGCATACACATGCGGATGCATAGCATACTGCTGACACATGGGGCAAGTGCCCCACTTGAAGGGCGCTGGCATACCAGCAGCGCGGACAAGGCCACGCACAACCACGGCGATATGATGAAGGAGGTTCGGTAGCAAAGCAAAACTGGACAGCCGAGAATTGCCCATGGCGGTGAGATGGCCGGCCAAAAAGGAGGGTTGACTTGAGAATTACAAAGAATGAGTTGAGAAGTGTGGATTTGCTGACGGAAGCCCTCGCGCCCTCAAGCAGAAAACCCTTTCTCAGGTATTGGGTTTGATTAGGCCTTTAGGGTTTTTGATTGGGGCTTGAGCGGTAGTGTGGAACCCCGAACCTTACACCTTAAATCCTAAACCTAAACCCTAAACCCTACACTCTAAAACCGTAAGGCCCCTGAGCTCTGCAACCGCCCTCACTGCCAACCAAGACACACAAAGCGGCTCGATCCTCCTCGTTTAAGCTGCTGACCTGTCTGCTTAGGATTTAGGGTTTAGGGTTTAGGGTCAGGAACGGGTTTAGGTTAGGGCTTAATTAGTGAGACTTTGGGTATGAGAGTTTAGGGCTTAGGGTTTGGGATAGTAGGCTGCGCGCGAAAGACTTTGCTCTCAGAC